CGAGCATCTCTCCTTGGCCGCCAAAAGGCCTTCGTCCTAATCTCCTCGCGCGAGGAAACCGGGCACAGTGGACTGTAGGACGCACCCTGCTGGCCTCATTCCACATTAACTGCCGCTCTAAAGGCCCTGTTTCCAGATACAGTCACAGAGTCGCGAGGGGCTGGGACTTCAACATGGAAATGGAGGGGATGCAATTCAGGCCAGAACCCGAGGACCGGGGGGAGGGTACCTCCCACCAGAGACCCTTCCCTGGACCTGGGAGCCCCTGAGGTAGCCTTACTCTAAGTCCACTGACGATGGGCTTGATTTTGTGTAAGATAAGTTCCATGTCGAGGGCTCCTTTTTTAACTTGATGAATCATCATTTACTCCTTTCCCCCCACAGGGACTGGATGCCAACCTGAGTTCATCCACAGTGGGGTAAGTCTGTGAGCTTTTCTACCTGACAAAGGGCTGTATACTCCTCTTAACGCAGATTCCTGAGGAGAGTGGTTCACCTGTGATGGGGTATTTGGGGGAAGACATAATAGAAAATACAATTATTCAGGTAACTCTCTGACACTGTCACTCACGGCTGTCCCCCAGCCTGGAAAGTCCTGAGTTCTCCCTGTCACCTTCTTTACAACCGACACCTGAGCTAATGGACACGTATGAGTCATGCTCGTTTGATTTCTCTCTCTGTGAACACGTAGGACGCCCTTCCGATGGTTTCCAACAGTGTCCTCCTGACGCAGGCCTGAGTCCAGTGGGCGCTGAGTCTGTTCGCCTTCCAGGAACACGGGCCAGCCCACTGCCCACCTTCCTGCCTCAAGGGCAGGAAGTGGCCCTTTACAAAGGCCCTGACCCAGTTTCAAGCACACGTGTTAAAGCGTATATGCTCTGTCCCCTGGCAAAACTGTGTGTGGCCACGAGAGTCTTATATCTTAGAATAGCGTGTAACAATGAACACACACAACTTGGCAGTAAGTAAATTACTCTCTCTTTATTCACTTACTCAGCAAACAGGGAGAGCCTTAAATAAAAAGCTACTTTTATCAAACATTTCCTATGTTGTAAGCATTTGGAGATTGCACCCTTGCCCTCCAAGCTCGATCACTTTCATCTGGTGTCATTTCATACAATCTAAAATAAAAATTAAAAGGAACAAGTCATTTACTTGAATCTCACCCACCAAACACGCGCACACGCACACGCACACGCACGCACATGCTCACACACCACTCCAGCCCGCAGACACTGCACGCGGCCTCCTTCCGTGTCCCCCACATGCCACCCCCCGCCTCCCTTCTGATTCTGTTTCCCACGACCCCAGCAGAGTGAAGTGGAAGAAATTCCTGCCGCCACCGTCCAGGTGCTCAAGTGTGACCTCCCTCAGGACCATCCGCCCAGAGAGCTCCCTGAAACTCCAGGTGAGCCCGGGGGACCGACCTCTGAGCCCCAAGTGCAGAGTGAGGCTCTGTGTAGAAGTCAGGCTCCCCAGACTGAGGTTAGGATGGCTGCTTTGCCTGTGACCCAGGAGCGCTGGCTGCTCAGGGCAGCCCAGCTGAGTGCAGAGCAGCAGAGAAAGGGGGGCCAAGGCTGTTCTTGGCCGCGGGATGGTGTGTGCGTGATAGAAGCAGACGGACCCCCAAACAGAGGCACCACCAGCAGCCCTTGTGGGAGTCCTGATGTCCACAAGCAGCTTTGAAAGACTGTCTAGTATCTTTTCATTTTAGCCTGAAGAATTTGGAGGGGCTGTGTAAACTGTGTTAAGTCTATTGGTGATAGATTCCCTCAGCATTTGTTTACCTGAAAATGTCTTAATTTCTCCATCATTCTTAAAAGATACTTCTGTTGTGTATAGAATTCTTGGTTGGCAGGGTTTTTTTTTTTCCTTCATGACATTATGTCACCCCAGTGACTCCTGGCCTCCATGGAATCTGATGAGAAATCACTGTTTATCACACTGAGGATCCTCTGTTTGTGATCAATTGCTTCTGTCTTGCTGCTTTCAAAATTCTCTCTTTAGGCTCTGAGAATTTGGCTGTAATGTCTCAGTGTGGATTGTTTGAAGTTTGTTAAGCTTCTTGGATTTGTAGATGCATGTTTGTCATCTTTGGAAAGCTTTCAGTCATTATTTCTTCAGGTATTTTTCTGTTCCCTTCCCCTCACCCCTCCTCCTGGGACTCCCACAGTGTGTATGTTGATACCTTTGATGGTGTCCCACAGGTCCACCAGCCTCTGTCCACTTTCCTTCATTCTTTTTTCTTTATGGTCCTCAGACTGGATAATTTCAGTTTCATCAAGTTTTCTCATCCTTTTCCCTGCCTGCTCAAATATGCTGATCTCTTCCAGTGAATTTTTTATTTCGGTTTTCGTATTTTTCAGCTCCAGAATTCGTTTAGTTTCTTTTTCTAATCTCTACCTCTTTATTGATATTCTTATCTGTTCATACACCATTTTCCTGATCTCCTTTAATTCTTTGTACATGATGTCCTCTGCCTCACTGAGCATTTTTGAGACAGCCGATTTATTATCCTTGACTATTCATTTGAAAGTCTAGGCTTCCTGTTTCTTTGTATGTTTTATAATTTTTTGTTGAGAACTGGATATTCTGAGTATTATAATGTGGTGACTCTGGAAGTCAGATTTGCTCCTCAGGGATTATAGATTTTTGCCTGTTGAAGGCTGGAACTATGTGTCTGTGACTTTTCCAAACTATTTTTGCCAAGTGTGTATTTCTTGTCACTGAAATTTCTCTTGCGTTATCTCTGTGGTCAGCCAGTGACCTGACAAAGACTTCCTTAAATGTCTGGCTGTGAATAGAGGGGAAACGTTCTGTCTCTTTAAGTCTTCCAGAAGGTGGCACTGACAGAAGCTCTTGCTGCCAAGGGGGCCAAAACCAAGGCAGGCACCTGTGCCTGCCCCTCAGGGCAAGGCCAGACCAAGCAAAACACACAACCCCAAACTTGTGGAGTGCATCAGCCAGCTGCTCCGGGAATGACGGTTGTTCTGCCCGAAGCCGCAGCAGGACTCTAGAACAGAGGGTGGCAGCCGCTCCCTCCCCCACAGATGTTGCAGCGTCTGATCAGTCTCCAAGTGTGAGATGGGTGACTGACAGCTCCTTTCAGCGTGAGGGTTACCTCAGTGGAGGATGAACCTCTAAAGCTTGCGACTGCGCCCCTTTTCCCTAGCAAACCATTGCTGCACTTTTGATACACAACCTTCTTCAACACAGTCATCAGCCACATCCTTCCCCACAAATCTCCATTCCACAGTCCTCCACTGTTTCACCTACCTGCTCTGTCCGGTTTTTATTTTCATTCCAAAGTAATATTTTGTTTCCCCTTAGTTCCAGTGATTTTTAGATGGTTTGGCAACACCTCACCTCACCTTTGCTTCCCGGGCATCACTTCCTCTGTGTACTTTTTCTCACCCTGCCCTGTCTCTACCAAGATTACTGCTCCAGTGCTTTCATCTGGGGGCAGACACCCCGTTGTTGCCTGTGGACTCAGGAAGGTTTGTAGCAGCGATCGTTTGCCTGGCTGCTCGGCCTGCAGTGGTCCCAGCAAGTTATCCACTGGGGGTACCCCCCCCCCCCCCCCACCCATACCACCCCCCTGCCCGCCTCAACGGTGGATTCCATGAGGGTCTCTCCCACCTTCCACAGCACACTCCCCTGACCATGTCATTCTGTGCCCATTTGCTCCCACCTCTTTGGGAGTTGTCTTTTCTGACCCAGCAAGGGTTTCCCTTCTAGTTTCCCCCTGAAGTTATATCTTTACCCCTTTATGTATCCATTTATCTATTGACTATAATTTTAAAGTATTGGATCAGGGAAGGGAGACTCTAGCATATTTTAGATATGCTGTTTTGATTTAGAAGTCTCCTAGTGACATGTTTACTTGTAAGTCTTTCCAAATTTTCAAAGAACAATTTTGCATAATCCCAGTCTCTGGTTCATGCCACATTCAGCACTGAAAGTTGAAATTATCACTATCCCTGACCCTTTGGCAAGTCTGGCAAGAACTGTGGTCACCCTTCCTGTTGGCTAGCTGGCAGACATGGGACAATAAAGTCATCAGTCTGCTGGGCCAGGTTAGCACCAGGGCAGGGAACAAAATGCCTGTATTCAGATGTGGGTGTAAAACACTAGGGGCTCCCTGGTAGCCAGACCCCAGCACCACGGAGCAGCGAGTTATATGGAGGGGTTGCCAGCTTTGCGATGACCTGTGTGTGCCCCAGGCACCCCCCCATTTGTCGTGCTGGGAACCCACACAGGTCTCCTTGGCTTCCATGAGACCCTCACACGCATTTGGCAAAGCCCACTTGTCTTTATCGTGATGTACGTGCCGGAGAAAAGGCCAACACTCTCCACCAGAAGCAGTGGTGGTTCTAGCCACACACAGAGATGAACGCTCTGAGGTTCCAGAGGTGACCGACTGCCCACATCTCAGAGCTCATCCAGGGCAGAGGCAGGCTTGTCTGTCTCTAAAACATCCTCTTGTCACTACATTTTGTCCCCTTTGGCAGTTTAACAAATACTGCCTCATGTATTCCGTATCACTTCTCTTTCTGCAGGATGCAAAGGATCAACGAGACATAAGGCAGCATATGGAGGGAGACATGGCTGAAAACCAAGGCTCAGCTTCAGGTAAGCTATTTGGCAATTGGGGTCATGTTGAGATCTACCCAAGTGTGATTTTCTACAGAGTTAAATATTTTCTAAGGAAATGAAAAAGGAGAGAGAAATCAGCACGGAAACTCAGGGCTGGGACGCTTGTCTCTGTGATGTGTCCGCAGACAGCCCCCGACGTCCCATGCGTTTGCCCCGCCCCACTCTGTGCCACAAAGCAGTCCAAGGGGTGGAGCTGGACACCGGCCGAAGCACCAGCAGCGAACGTCTGCCCCTGACTGAGGGCTGGCTCTGGGCATCCGTCTGTGGCCACCAATCCGAGCTGTGGACCCCGAGCAGTGCTGGTGGCCAACCTCGTGGTGGCCACACGGGGCAAGGTCCCACCAGGGAGTCTGGATGGCGACTGGAACGGAAGGTCCAATGTGCTCCACCACATCCCACCTGCCGGGGTCTCGAGTGATTTCACGCAGCGTCTTCATTGTTTGTGAGTCTTCATCCTTCCAGAGTTTAAAAAAATATTCACCACTCAGCCTTTCACCAACTAACGCTCATGACGATATCGTCTCCTGAGTGTGCATCCCGGTAGAGCACACGGGACACCTCCTTGAGCACGCTCGATGTAGGTCTCGGAGACTCCGACTCCTGGAAGGGAGATGCAGGCTGGAAGGGTTAACTGATGTTACGTCATTCCACGTAAGCTGGATTTGAAGGCTCACAAACACAAACGTGGCATCGATGAAGCGGGGAGGGGAGAAGAGAGAGGCTGTTCCATGAGCCCGAGTGTGCAGGTTGATTCTGAGGACAGAGGGTGCTCCCGACAAGCAAGCACCATAGGTGTGTGAGGGTGCGCCCACGTGTGGAGGGCCTCCTAAAGGTGATGATGAACCAGCCAGGCGGTGAGGGGCTCTCGGGCTGGGACTGAGGCAGGGAGACCCCCAGAGAGAAGCCCAGGGCACCTGCCAACCCTGGTGACCTTGTCTTCATAGACGTACAGGAGGTAGAAACAGAAGACCAAGTTCAGAGCCAACTTCACTTTATGGGTTAAGTTGTCCCACAAAACTGGGACCCCAAAATGTGGAGGTGAGCCAGAGGACCCCAGCTTTCTAGCCCCAAAGGACACAGGAATAATCAGCCTCAAACCCTGGGGGTGTGAGGAAAAGAGAAAAATCATTGCTGACTATTCGGAACACCAGGCTGTCCCTAACTTTGTGAAAGGAGGCTGATCCCCTGAGCCCCCAGGCTGAGAAGTGACATAGAGGGTTAGGGTCATCCTGGGCGCCAGGTGGAGACCCTCTGAGGCTCGCCCTTCATTGCTTGCTGCTCCTTCATCAGAGAATCACGAAGAGAACTGCAGGGAAGGTGAGCAGCTCTCGGTGAGAGTGACCGACTTCACGTGGGGACAAAGCACTGGAGTGAGAATCCACAGAGACTAGCAGAAACAGACAGAGGCCTCGGGACTCATCAGACGAGAACACCAAATAACTATGAGGATTTATTTTGTTTAGAGAAATAAAAGACAAAGTTTAAAATATCTGAAGAGAACAGAAAACTGTTCTTTAATTACCAAACACATTTGAGGAAGAACGAAATAAAACTAACAGAAATGCAAAAGGGCAGGACAGGAGGTGCGCAGAGCGGAGCCTGGTCTTCGCTGCAGCGGCCGGCTCTGTGCCGTGTGGGGCACCGTGTGCCGTGTGCGGGGCCGTGTGCCTGGGCTCGGAGCCCCCCAGCCCTGCACACACCCCTCCGAGGTGCTCACGGGAATGTCTCCTTTTTCTGCAGGAGCCCAGGGACCTGCGCCGACTGAGAGCCCCTTGCAGGGCTCCTTCTCTGCTAGTAGGCTGCCTGTGGAGTCGGTCCCGGAAACCCATGCTCTCCTGTCCTCTGTGCATGGCCACAGGAAGGACACGTGGTCCCAGAAGCACTGGGACGTCCTCCGCAGTAGCCAGAAGCCCTGGAGCTTGGAGTCCCCGGTCATCAACATCTCCGAGAGTTGCCAGGAGGTGCCCCATGCGTGGGCAATGGCGCCGCACGCCCAGGCGCCCAAGGGCCTGCCCGTCATCGAGGAAGAAAAGTATGGGATGAAGGTGGCCCCTGTCGCCAGCCCCGAGGAGGCCACCGGGCCCGGCGGCTCCACCAAGGTCACCGTGATCATAGTGCCTGAGGGCCCGGAGCCCGAGGACCGGGCTGCTCAGCCTGTATAGAGCAAGCGTGTCCCCCAGGGCCCCAGGACGCCCCTCCCTCCAGAGCTGCTCACACAGCCTGGCCTCATTTCCAATTCTAGGAGGAGACCTGGGCCCTGCGGCCCACCGTCAGACCCCGCCGTCCACCGTCAGACCCCGCCGTCCACCGTCCGTCAGACCCCGCCGTCCACCGTCAGACCCCGCACCCTCCGTGAGAGTCAGGAGGGGAGAGGGAGCACATGAGCCCCTCTGCTTCTGGCTACGTGGGAAGAGCTTTATGATCTCTGCATTTCACTCACTCTAGAAGCCATATTCTAAAGACTTTCATATTTTTCTAAACACGTCTAAGTGTTATTCCAGAAAGAGGATTCAAGATGGAGTGGGTGCCACGTTTTTACTCTGTTGACTATTAAGGTTTTTAACTGTATGAATTTAGGTAGCTTTTAAGAAAATTCTTCAGAATTCCTTAGTAAGTTTTATAAGAAAAAATAAAAATTGATTTTAATGGCAATAACCTTGAAATCAGCCTTGGTAAATTTTAAGTCCCTGGGTTTCAAGTGGCTGCTTCTGTGGAGGGCTGGCAGCAGATCCCTGGCCTGCCCACCACACTAGTGCTGGGCTCTGAATTCCGGTGTGAACCAGGCCTGGTCTGGGCCTCCAGAACTGGCTCCCAAGCCCAGTCCCGGGGGCAGCCGCCCCAGCCTTGTCTCTGTCACTCCCCTGAATCGGGCCCACTGCAGGCAGTGGCCGTCCAGGGCACAGCCTGCCTCACCCGCACGGCCGTGGTCACACCTGTGCTGGCCGTGCTCATCCCCGCCAACACGGTCAGAGGCCCTGGGCAGGCTACTGAACTCCCGTTTCCTCCGCGTGAGCCACACGGTGAGGAGGTCCCCTCCTAGAGGGTTAGCCTCCAGGCCGCCTGTGTGGTCCCCCATCAGGAGAGCACACGCGTGTGTCGCACGTGATGCAAGGAGCCCCTTGGCCACACCTGCTCACGTGCCCATGTTCTTCAGCCACAGAGTCCGTTTCCAGCCCCTTCCTCCTGACGGAACGTGTTCTCCCTTGGGGACCACCCAGAAGACCCCCACACGCCCTCGGGCCTCTCCAGGGTGGGCCTACACCGCTGAAGACTGCTGCGCCCTCCCACCTGCGGGGAACCTGGAGCAGCCCCTCCCTGTCCCTGTCTCCCTGCCACCTCCAGCCCTCTCTGCCCTCCTCCACAGGGTTTGGGTGTCTCTCTGGGCTGCCAGTAGCACTCTGGCTCCTGCCCCCAACGTCTGCAGAGACCTGGTCCCCACAGGACCTGCTAGTGCAACTGCTGTCACCCCGATTACTTGAAATTGGATTATGGCACCAGGTGGCAGCTCCCCGGGCCCCACGGCATGGGGATCTCCAAGTCCACATGGGCTCATGGGACTGAGGGAACCCAGCCGCTCATCTGACCTCAACCTTAAGGAAAGATGAGCCTCTGGCTTCCAGAGGGGAGGTGGTCTCTGCCTCCCACCCAAACTCAAAAAGAAGATCCAGAAGATCCCCCAAATAGAGAAAAGGTTCAGAAGCTGGGTGGCTAGAAAGTACTGACGAAAAGCATGCAGGGACTACATGATAGGCGTTAGGGCTGTGGCCCTCTGAGTCATGAATATGGACTGAGGACCTAGGACACGAGACATGAAGAAAGGGCTCCCAGGCTGTATGGTGACGTTTTTACTACAGAACAATAAGCACTTGCTTAAAAATGCATTTTTATTGCATCCTGCATTGAAGAAAGTGAGAAAACTCTCAAGAAACTAGAGGAAGTGAGCTGGGAGATAAGTAGTGCGCACACAGAAGGGTGGGCTTCTTTGAAACTAGGCCTTGAACCAAGAGCAGTGCTGGGTGCAAGATTCCAGGACTAAATCAGGGACTCCAGCAGAAATAAAATGAAATAAGGCGGCCGAAGTTGAGATCCTAGATTTCTCAGATTTCTAGATTTCAGGGTTTAAGATCAATCAAAATAGCTCACAATCAAAGATCAGAGAAAACACACCATTGTGAGTGGAAGTCGACAGAAACAGTAAAAGTGGATTTAGGCCCCAGAAACTTGAGATCTGGAATTAGAAAGACGGAATATTCAACAGGGTGCATGAAATATTTAAATATATGCAAATCACAGAAATAAGCAAAAAGAAGATTTTCTTCATGATCAGGAAGACATGTAAAAGATGCAGATAGACTTTTTAGAAATAAACATACTTGTTAAAATAAACGTAACAGGTAAACGAAGCATCAGATTAAACAGTGTTGAAGAAAGTTATTAAACAGGAAAATCATCTGAAGAAATCACTCAGAATGCAGACGCAGCAGAGAGGATGAGAGATGGACGGAAAGAAGGGAAGGTGGGCAGAGACAGAGGAGAGATGGGGTCTCAGATGCTAGAGGACGGGAAGACAAGAACGCAGGGAGGGAAGTGTTATAAGGAATGATATTAGGGTTCCCCTGAACTAACAAAGGACGTGAAAGTACAGGTACAGGAGGCATAATGTATAACAAGCCGCATAAATGAAAAAGAAACCCACACCTAGACATCTTGGAGAGAAAGGCAGAACACCAGACAATCTGACCTTGAAAGCAACCAGAAAGAGAACGGATCACCTACAGAGAACAGCGGACTTCTGGGCAGTAACAACAAAAGGAGGGAAGTGACGTCCACAAAGTGTGACAGAAGTGGGTGTCAACCTAGAAGCATGTACCCAACAATGCGTACTTAGGAAAAAGAGCAAGAACACATTCTTAGATAAATAAAAGCTGAGTTTACCACCATCGAAGGAAAACGTGTAATGCAAACATTGGCAGAAGCCACGGGAAAAATGGAGAAATGCTTCCAACACACCCCTCTCGGCTGGGTCAGGCCACCACATTGGAAAGGAAGTAAAAATACAGATAGGGCAACACGACGAACAAGCCCGATTTAGGGGGCACCTTCAGGACCCTGGACTCGTTTTCTGGAACATGTGGGTTCTGCTCAGGCACACAGGGATTATTTCCCAAAACAAAGCCCGGGCAACCCTCTGGTCACAGGCGTGGGTGGGTGAGCGTCCTCACCTCTGTCCCCACCCCCGCCCTGTGTGGTGCCTTAAGGGTTCCCCGTGACCACGGAGCTGAGCGGTGGGAGTGCTGTACACGCTGAGCCTCCCTCTTGGTCTTCTTGTCTGGGCCTCATCGAGCTTCTCGCAGCTGTGGGTTTAGTTTACATCAAATTTGGAAACATTTTGGCGTTCATTTTTTCTCTAACATCTTTTCTGCACTCCAACCCCAATATTTTCTCCCCTCCTTCAAGAGTTTCAACTGAACATCCATTAGGCTGCTTCAAGCTGTCCCACAGGCCACTGATGATTTTTTTTTATTTTTTGGTGGTGCCACACAGCATGTGGGATCTTAACTCCCCAACCAGGGATCAAACCCGTGCCCCCCTGCAATGGAAGCACAGAGTCCTATACTAGTAGACGGCCAGGGAAGTCCCTGTGATGATTTTTTTTTTTAATTCTCTTTTATCTCTGTTTCATTTTGGGTAGCTGGCATTGCTACACTTCTCCATGGTCTAACCTGCCAGTCACCCCTTGTGTATTTTATCTCATGCATCGTAGTTTTTACCTCCGTGAATTTAATCGGTAGCGTTGCTATAGTCTTAGAACACGTGGAGTAAGTTATAATGCTGTTCTATTGCCCTGTGTCAGTTCTAGGTCCATTTCAAGTGATTCATCTATCTTCTCATTATGGGTCTTATCTTTTTTTTGCTTCTTTGCACACCTAATAGTTTGCATTGAATGCCAGTGATTGTTAAGTGTACCTTTTGGGCGCTAGACTTTTCTGTTTTCTTATACAGTAAATCTTAAAGTTTGGTCCGAGATGCAGTTTGGTCTCTCTGCCTTGCTGCTAAGATTTGTAGACAAGACCAGGGCAGAGCTCAGGCTACGGTCTACCACCCCCTCCCCAGAGCGATCCCCCTCTTTCCAGGCACCCCAAACGCCCGAGAATTGTGAAGTCTTCTTGTTGGCCGGTACACGCATCGCTCATGACCTTGTGTGGGTGCCAGGCTCTGCCCCCTCTGACATTTGCAGTGGTCCACGCCCAGCCCTGCCGGTGTCCTCACCTATGTGAGGGGATCAGCGCTCGGCTGCACACTCTAGGGGGCTGTGCGGCTCGCTCTGTGCTACACTGTCCACTTTGGACCCCCCAGTCCCTCCGCTTTGTCCCCTCCCCTGGGGAGGCTGCCGGCTCCACCCGGCTCCTCCCCCTGCACCTGGACGCTACGTAGGACGTCAGCTGGGGCTCCCGTCACTCGGGGTCACTGTCCTTTGTCACCTGCTGTCCAGTGCCTTGCAAAGCATTGCTTCATATATTTCATCCAGTTTGGGGTTGTTTCACGTGAGAAGGTAAATCTAGTTCCTGTTACTCCATCTTGCCTGGAAGCAGAAGTGTGTTCAGTGACAATCTGATGCATATTGGCTACTGCTGCACACACACCCATTTTCCTTTGCACACTCAGGAAATGCAATCACGGGAGCAGAGCCGACTGAACCCACACAGGCTCAGACAGCTGCTGTTGTCACTGGTGAAGACGCGCCAGGGCCGAGGGGTCGCAGACCCTAACCCCCAGCGGTGACGCGCCCCCTGAACAGCAGGAAATGGGGGCGGCGCACCTCAAGAGCGTGTGTTCAGAGAACGCAGGGAGAGGGTAGCTGACCCAGTAGCTACTACCTTAACAGATTAGGAATCGTGCTGAGATCTCCATGTGCTAAGAAGGCAGCACAGAAGAACAGATTATTAGTTTAAATAAGTGGGAAATGCTAGGACTGGGCTGAAGGGCGGATTCTGCTCCCACGGGGCAGCTGACCGGGCGTGGTTTCCGGGGAGGCGTGGTGCCTCTGTCCCGGGATCCTTTCCAGACGACGAGACACGGTGCCAGGCAGAGCCAGTGACTCCCCTGCAGTGGGTGTCTTACGATGGATTTCCACAGACGCTGGAAGAAAAGCTTATCAAAATGGCTTTGATTTCTGTTAAACTCTTTCTATTTTTATAACCTCTATGACGTGGATGCACGTCCCCGTCCTCTCGAAGGGACCACAGAAAGCCGCCTTGTTCACACGGCCACCTCAAGCCCTGCAGTTTATAACGCCATCCACCATGACTTCGGGGTGTCCGACTGTCCTACTGTCCTCTGGCCCTCACGCCCGGTGTGCACAGGCGTTAAACGAACTTGATGGCACATTCAGGAAACCGTGTGCACGCCTGTGCTGGCACCACACGCCCTCAGCCTCATGCAACGTTGGGAAAAAAGAAAAGCCAAGGTAGGCTGCCTCAGATGGACACAGGGGCACCGCCTCGGCCACTATGATCACAGCAACCAACAGCCCCGGGGAAGAACTCAGAGCCTGTCGCTGTGCTCAGAGCCCACGCGCCACGTTGCCAGGGTTATAGCACCGCAGGTTTGGCACGACCAGAGGTGGGGAAGGATGCGTGGGCAGGAGGGGTCCCCAGAGCCAAGGGGAAGCACCAGGCCTCCCCCCCGAACTGGTGAGCTGATGCCTCTCGAGACTGTCTTAGAAGCAAAGTTAATAACTGAAAGTCTTATTAGAATAAAAATTAGGGAATCACCTTAAACCATCAGAAATTTATATGGCTTTCTTAAATGCCCAGGTTTATGACTGCAAGGATAAGTCCATGAACCACAAAAGCAGGTTTCCAAGGTGAGTATCAAGCATGTGTCGGTGGTGGACGCCAGCCCTGCCCCAAGCCTGCTGTGTGTCCCAGGTCAGCTATTCAGCTTCTCTGAGTCCCAGGGGCATCGCCTGAAAATCGGGAGAGCGATCAGGGCTGTGCACGCCTAGGGCCCCCAGGAGGATCCCGTGCTGGTCCAGGGCTCGGCTGCCAGCATCGTGAGATTCTTCACAATCTGGAACGAGGGCCCCACGTTTTCATTTTGACTGGATCCCGCACCTGATGTCGGCGGCCCCGATCGGACACCCACTCCAGGCGGGATGTGCAGCAGGGCAGGGCCAGCGTGGGCCACAGAGCGGGCACTGGGCGTCCACGGTCACCGTGCTGGGCTGTGGTGAGGACACTCCTCCCCAGGAACCATCTGTCCGTCCACCCCGTGCACCTCACCCCGAGGAAGGGGCCCTGCTGGGCACCGACCAGCAGCGAGCGGACAGAGCGGTCCCCAGCGGGCTGAGGCGCCCCACCCCGGGCAGCCGCTCCCCAAGGGGCTCAGAGCTGGCTGGAGGTCGTCCCTCCTTCCTTGGCTGCCCGGGGTTATTTTGGCTCCATTGGGTCTAGGCTTCGACGAAGGGCAACTCTTCCCTGGTTGAGCAGCACGAAGCGGGAGTTGCCACAGCTCTGTCCCCCGGTGAGATGGACGGGCCGCCTGGTGAGAGCCTGCACGTGCCCGCGGCCCACGAGCAGCTCCCCACGTGGGGGGCACTGCAAGGCCGAGGATGGAAGCTGCCCGGGCCTCCGAGCACGTGGTCAGGAATGCATTTCAACCAAGAGGATGGACTTCGGGTTTTAAAATAAGGAACACTCTCATACCTAGTATGCGGAGTTAGGTATAGCCTGAGGCTCCAGCCCTTTTCTGCCCACAGACGCCCTTTTCCGCCCACAGACGCCCTCTGCCTCCCATCTGGGTGGTCCTCGGGGCGGGGGCCCAGGGTCCAGAGCCTGAGGTAGCCAGTGGGAGCTAGGGTGGACGAGACATGGGAAACAGAACGTGCCAGGAAGCCAGGCCAGTGAGCTGAGCGCCGTCCTGGGGGGAGCACAGAAGGTGGTCTCTAGATATAACTAGGGGCCTCTACAAGAGGGCACCTCGGATTACCCTCGTGGGCCCTAAATCCACGAGACTGTCCTTAGGAGACACAGGGAGGAAACAGACATGGGGGAGGAGGCCATGTGAAGACATAGGCCGAGGTCAGGGTGATGGGGCCACAAGCCCAGGGATGCTTGGAGGCCCCCGAAGCTGGAGAGGCAGGAAGGGTCCCCAGGCCCCTGCAGGGAGCACGGCTGCCGACACCTTGACTTTGGACTGTGAAGGCTTCTGTTGTTTAAGCCGCCAGCATGCGGTCCTTTGCCCTGTGGCCCTGAAAAACCAGCACAGTATCTTACAAGTACAGATGATTCCGCTCACGGGCGGCCTCCGTGTGGCCACCGTGCAGACGTGCATGTGCCAACCCGAGCTGGGCTTTGATAACTGGAGTGTAGACGGAGGTCGTCCAGGTCTCGTCAGTGGACCAAGGACCAGGGGGCAGTGTCATCCCCCACAGAGGGCGCGCTGGTCCAGCAGCCAGAGCCGGAAGACGGCTCCTCCGACTCCCACACCAGGATGGAACCTGCCATCCCATCCTATCACGAAGGGGACTCTCCCAGCTTGGTAAGAGGCGATGTCACTATTTCAGGTGATTTTCTGAGTGTGGCCAGGACTGACTCTAAGCTGTAAACTCAAAACACAATCTCATTCACAGACGACCAGTGTCAGCCTCCAGGAATGGTACAGCCGGCAACCCGGCTGGCTGGCTTCTGGCCGCCTGCGCCGCGGGGCGTGGCTACGTGGGCTGTGGCTCTAGCCACCCCATCGTGGGGGCGGCAGTGCTGGGAGCCCGCCCCGTCCCCCAGGCCCCGCCTCTGCGATGACTGTGTCCCTCACACGTTTCTGCCCCCGAGTCTGGCACTCGCCTCCCAGAGCAGTGCCGCCATCGGCAAACCCACGCATTTATGCCACAGCACCTGCACAGCTTTTGAAAAGTGGACTGAATGCTCGCCTTTTGGCTAAGACGACACTGGGAACATAATGAGTAGTGTTTTTCGTTCTTTCATTTGCATCGTTAACGGTAACTTCAGCGGTGCTCGGGGCTGCGTGTGGGACAGAGAAGGTGCAGCCCAGCTTCAGCTTAAAGAGTCAGGACCGCAGGTCACGGGGGGCGCCTCGGGGGGGCCTCCTGCTTTCCCTGTTCTTCCGACTCTAAGATTCTGGGCTCACCTGGTGTCCAGAGCGTGAAACTTTTCAGGGAAACGAGAAATAGAAGGCCATCTTCGGCCAGTTTTCAGCA